TGGTAAAATCCAAGAAGCAGCAAGGTAGTTTTTTAATAATAACAAAGATAAATAAGGTAAAGCATGAAAATCACAGGGTATAGTAACAGCACGTAAGAAGTCTGCAATAAATTTTACTTTACAAGAGAGGGGAAGGAGATAGTGCTTATTTAGAATAGACTTGCTAATTACCTGAAATATAATCTTTTATTTAAGAATATTTAAGAGTTTTTGTCTTGTAAAAACGTAACACACACACAGTTTATAGATGTCAGGTTTAATATGTATTTCTGTGAAGGGATACTCACCTGCCTTTCCAGCTACTGGGAATGATCAAGAATAATCCAAAATAAGAGCTAATCCATACATCTTTACATTTGGGGTTTGAAATGTCTTAAATTTTTGCACTCTCTTTTTTCCCATGTTGTAGATTCTGCCTGCTACTGGAGTGACATGAGTGTGTCCTCCAGCTTACTGTTTCTTATACTGGGTTTGAATGCCAGATCTGGGATCCTTTTCGTAGAGTTGTCCCAAGTGCCAGGAATGGGAATATACAGATGGTATGCTATCTGTGAAGGAACAAGATTTATCTACAGGATCTGTTCTGATTTACAGGCTCAAGTGGCATTATTAAGGAGAGGTGGGGAAATAAGTACCCATTTTTAACTGGGTCATTCAAACACTCTGCATGGTGTTTGTACTGAATGTACTGAGGTACAAAGCACAATTGAGAGAGGAAACCTCAGACTCAAGGAGGAAACTTCAGGAGTATGAAATAACATAGATGAGTAAAATAGATGTGGGGAAAACTGTGGTGAACAGGAGAGCACCTGCCGTGTCCAGGCAGGGCAGCTGCTACTCAGTTCCATGAGAAGTAGCCATGTGAGAATGCAGGCCCAAGCTCTCGCAGCATTCCAATTACCCAGAGAAGCAGGGAACTTGGATTATTTTATTCAACTCTTTTAATTTTCAAATGTTATTAGAAAAATGGAGGGATAAATCAAAAACAAACAAAAAATACATACACACACACACATGCCCGTTACTTGTTGGAAGAGAGACCTAACAAGGTGGAGGGGACAAAGACAAATGCTAGACTTCTTTGAATATATCTTGTTTTCTACATTTGCTTTTGGTGCCATATAAATATAAATCTAGAAAACAAAAAATTAGATTTTGAAAAAACAGTCATTAAAATTGAAAGAAAATAAAACAACTGGGCTTCATGATATACCAAGGTCAGTGGCATAACCAGACAGAAAGTAATTATTTCAAGTGACTTTGAAAGCCAGTAACTTGACTATACTTTCTTACTAGGATGTACTCTAAAGAATAAATAAATATACATTTTAAATTATTTTTATTAATCATAATGTTACTAGGTAGTGGTATTGTTGTGAAACTTTTCTGTATGTATTTATGTTTGTGTTATTGAGAACTGGAGTTTTTTGTATGGAAGAAAGTTAATAAAATTCTATGATCCATGAAGCTAAATAAAAACCTAAAATAAAAATCCTGTATGTGAATTCGAAGTATCATGTGAAGTCTTGATGTATTTTATCTGAACACACACACATGCACAAACTTATTTCTTAGCTCTGTCCTTTGAAAATGCCTAGAAATAACAAACCCAGTAGCAATGAGAACCCCTAGCTCCCAGATTGTGGTCTCTAAAACCATCTCCCACAAAAATGAACCAGGGCTTCTTAGAGAAATGGCTGATTCCAGGCCTGGGTCAGGAAATGTGTAAGTTAAGCCAGGAACATTCTTTTATACTGTATAGCAAGAAGGCTATCAAAGATTACCACCAGTACCAGTTGCCTTTGAGTCCACTGCTAACCCCATGTGTGTCAGAGAAGAACTGTGCGCCATAGGGTTTTCAGTGGCTGACTTTTTAGGAGTAGATCACCAGCCTTTCTTTAGAGGCAACTCAGGGTAGACTCAACCCTCCAACCTTTCAGTTAGCAGCCAAGCTCATTAACCATTTCACAAATCCGGCATCTTCTGTCAAAGATTACTGAGGTCATATTAAAAGGATCCAGGAGCCAACTTGAAAAGGTTCTCACTGACCAGAGGTACTGATGGAATGAAGCAAATAAAAAAATCCATAGTCATATTTGAAAAATAAAACTTTGTTGGTCATCTTTGGAGGATATTAAAGAAGAAAAATCAAGAATCTATCAAGTTTTTATATTAACTGTAACTAGGAGTAAACAGATAGTTGATAAGATGATCCCAATTAATAATTTAAGAAGAAATGATAGAATTAGTAAAATCTAAACTTTGAGAAATCCTATGGGAAAAATGACATGTTTTATATATCAAATAGTGTGTGTATGTCTATGTATGTGTGGGGAGGGGTGAGAGAGACTGACTTAAGAGATATATTAGCCAATTGCGGTAGTAAGCTTAATTAAAGTAAATTATGAGAAAGAGAATATTAGTGAAATTTGAACATCAACTGGGTATTTGATGTGCTATAGTGAAAACACACCAGACTTCAAATGTTCTTCTAGAAATGAAAACAAAGAGTTTTATTGAAGGATATAAAAACAAAACATAAACATTCTGTGAGATGGGGAGACACACGAGCATCCCGACGAGAGGCTGCAGAGTATGTTCCGAACTGCAGGGAGAGAGAGAAAGGGAGCAGTTTCTATCAGGTGAAACAAACAATAGGACTGTACTTCCCTGGCACAGAAGAGAGGGGAGGGGGAAGCATGGCAAAAAGTTACAAGGGTTTATTAAACTATAATCTTAAACTTTTTAGTATCAGTTAATATCCTGAGGTTTGTTTAGCACGGCATTCTATCAAGGATGATTAAGTCAATGTTCTGTTACAGCTGCAGCCTGCCTTTCCCCTTATCTTGAGGTAATAAGCTCATGCTTTTAGGGATTTACAAAGCGTCAACAGGAGTTGGAGTGAAGATCTCCGTGAATGAAGTCTAATTTGAGGGAGACAGGAAATCAGAGCTGAGACTTGGTTAAGTGGTGTTTGCTTCTCTTTGGTTACAGAGTTATGAGACAGCTATAGGCTCCATCTTAACCTTATCAGTTCTAATCCTATTTCCAGGCTCTGGCGACCCTGAGCAAGGCACTGTTTTCAGACCAAGCTGAGTAAACATTCTTAACAGACACCTTCAACAAGTAATTCCTCATCCAAGCTAGAAATCTTTACTCTTGCTCTCTTTGTGTTAAAACCCATTGCCGTTGAGTCGATTCCTAGGACAGAGTGGAACTGCCTCACAGGGTTTCCGAGGAGCAGTGGGTGGATTCGAACTGCCAACCGTTTTCGGTTAGCAGCCAGGCTCTCAACCAATGCGCCACCAGGGCTCCCTCTTTGTATTACAAGTAGTTAAACTTCTACAAAGAGGCTGAATAGTCTCTTTAGAACAGTGGAAATGAAGATTTCAGTTTAACTCAGAATGGAGCTTTAATTTAGGCCTGAAGTCACCCCATTTCAGTTATGCCAGTACCTCAGTTTTTAGGTTCGCATATACAGATATTAATATAAGGAATGATATTTTTTTAAGATGTAGTAATGTTACATTGATATGTTTAAATAAAGGAGGGGTGATATGGATGTGGGTGGGTGTAATAGATAACAAGACTAGCCATGAGTTGATAATTGTTGAAGATGGGAGACAGGCATATAGGTGTTTGTTATCTAGTCTTTGAAGTTTTGTATATATTTACAATTTTTCTGAAAAAAATATTAGAAAAAAAGTTAGCAATTAATTTAAAAAAAAATTTTATTGTACTTTAGATGAAGGTTTACAGAACAAATAGTTTCTCATTAAACAGTTAGTACACATATTGTTTTATGACGTTGGTTAACAACCCCACGACATGTCAACACTCTCCCTTCTCAACCTTGGGTTCCCTATTACTAGCTTTCCTGTCCCCTCCTGCCTTCTAGTCCTTGTTCCTGGACTGTTGTGACCCATTAGTCTCGTTTTGTTTTATGGGTCTGTCTAATCTTTGGCTAAAGGGTGAACTTCTGGAGTGACTTCATTACTGAACTGAAAGCGTCTCCGGGGGCCATACTCTTGGGGTTTCTCCAGTCTCTGTCAGACCAGTAAGTCTGGTCTTTTTCTGTGAGTTAGAATTTTGTTCTCCATTTTTCTCCAGCTCTGTCCAGGACCCTCTGTTGTGATCCCTGCCAGAGCAGTCAGTGGTGGTAGCCAGGCACCGTCTAGTTGTACTGGACTCAGTCTGGTGGAGGCCGTGGTGGTTGTGGTCCATTAGTCATTAGGACTAATCTTTCCCTTGTATCTTGTTTTCTTCACTCTCCCTTGCTCCCGAAGGGGTGAGACCAGTGGAGTATCTTAGATGGCTGCTCACAAGCTTTTAAGACCCCAGGCGCTACTCACCAGCGTAGACTGTAGAACACTTTCTTTATAAACTATGTTACGCCAGTTGAGCCAGATGTTCCCCTAGACCATGGACCCCACAGCCCTCCACCCAGCACTTCGGTCCCTCAGGGAGTTTGGATTTGTCTATGGAGCTTCCATGAACTTGCCGTGTACAAGTTGTACTGGCTTCCCTGGTATTGTGTGCTGTCTTACCCTTCACCAAATAACGTCTTAAATGTTTTGTGAGCCAAACAAACTATGTCACAAGGATGGATGTGATCAGCAGACTGCTTGTTTGAAATGTTTGCATAGAGTTTGGGAAACAAGATCTTTTACTTGAACATGGAAAACCAGCCTTTTATCCCTTCCCACTCTCCACCTTCCTAGATTCTTTCTGCACTACCTAGCGAAAAGGGCCTTGTTCATCTGTGCACGTGAATGACTGGGGGGTGTTACAGACTGCTTGGAATAGAATTTTCTCAGAATAAGTAAACAAAGAGGATTATATGCATAATTGCATTGAACAGTGCCTTCAAGTATTCAACACTCTTAGAAAAAAGAGAGAGGGAGAGAGCAATAACTTTGTTTCAATTTTTGACAGCTGAGGTACTTTCAAATTTTGGCTAATCGCATTTTCCCTGTTCTTTTTCGGTGTCCCTATTTCAGGACGGAATGGGAAACTTGAGAATCACAGAAAAAGGTCTAAAGCTAGAAGGAGACTCAGAATTCTTACAACCTCTCTACGCCAAAGAAATCCGGTCCCGGCCGGTAAGTTTTTACTGAGAGAAGAAGGAATGATTGTTCCTCTGGAAGTCTAAATCTGGGGACAATTATCTTGCTGTCAGATGAGTATAAAGGGTTGGAGAAGAAGGTATAGTAAATGAACATGGTGTTTGAATCTGAAGCCTTGAGTGTAATCATAGTTGTGATGTTGTAAACAAGTGAGATGATCTCTCTGAGCCTCTTTCCATCCCTGCTTAGAGGGCAGGAACCCTTGCTAACCAACTAAGTGCTTTAAGTACTGTACAAACGCAAGGTAGTACTGCTCTGGTTTTTAATTGCTAAGTGCTTCCAAAACACCTTGTTGGTTTGGTTTTGTTTTTCATTAAGAATCTGGACAATGTAGCCAACGTTAGTAAGACTCAATGCAATATCAACAACTATGCTCTGAAATAATATTTAAATAGTCACTTTAATGTGTGTACTCCATGTCTGACATATCGCTGCTCTGCATCCATTATCATTACCTAACTCAATTCACAGAGCAGTGCAGTAGGGTGGGGACTATTGTCTCTGTTTTACAGATAAAGGAATTGAGGCTCAGAGAAGAAATTTGTCCAAAGCCACGTACTTACTAAGTAGCTAAATGAGGATTTGAACTAAGAGAATCTAGCTTTAAAGCCTTTTCTGTTAACCACAGACTCCTACATGATTTTTTCCTTTTGTAGTTTCTTTTCTTTTCTTTTTTTTTTTTTTTTTGTGATAGTAGTGATTCCTAGGTACCTTGCTTTTATCTTACCAAAATTCACTTTGTTTTCTACTGGGCTTTGTTGGTTGATTTTTTTGTTTCTTTGGTTTTGTTTTTCAGTGGGATGGGGGATTTGCTCATTGAAAAGGGTAATTAATGCATTTACTCTGCCTGGGGTCTATCTATGTCCACCAGCAAGCAAGAAATAACGTGAAAAGTTCCCCAAAGCATCATTTGCATTGTGTGCATGGATTAGCGTAATTAATGAAATTCAACAGTTTGGTGCACTAGTAATTTTATCTGAATGCCATCTAAAGTATGGAACTGTATAAAACTTAGTGGAACTGTTGAGCTGCCTCATAAAAAAGTGGGAGAAATGATATTAAAATCATCACAAATAGCAAGTCAATCAACTGCAGAATAATTATAAAATTTAAGAGGAACCCATAGCACACTGGCTTGGGCGTTTAAAGTACAAGAAGTATTGTAAAAGCATCTACTGTCTTTGAAGAACCTATATCCTAGAATATCCTAGGGTGATGGGATGAATCTACAATTAGGTAAGTCAGCCCTTGTTTAATTTGGTGATGATTCTGCTGAGGGCTGAATGGAGGCAGTCAATTTCAAACATTTAAGAAACACTTATTATGTACATTGTTCTTGGTCTGTATTTAGTTTTCCTAACCTGGCAAGTTGGTTGTTAAGTCATTGGTTTGAGTTACAAGTTGTATTCTAGATTAATAATATTATCTATATTAAATTTTTTTTAACTCACTTGTTTAGGACAGTAATTTCCCTCTACTGGGGTCAGCAAACTTGTTCTACAAAGGGTGAGATTATAAGTATGCTAGCCTTTTTTTTTTTTTTACAAGCTTTAAAGAGTGAGAACATTCTTAGCTCAAGGGCCATACAAAAATAACCCACAGGTCATAGTTTGTCAACCCCTGTAATCTATATCGGTGGTATTTCCGTAAATATATAAACGTGATAATTAGGTTGCGTGTGGTTCAAGAGAGCAGATTTTAGATCATGGTTAGTATAGCAGGTATGCATTAAGCAAAACACCCTGAAATAATTTCCCTTGGTCTAGAACTAGTGCCCTATTAAGGAATTGAGAAATACATTTTGGAAGGCTTAGAAAAGGGTTACTGTTAACATCACTTGGGCCCGTGTACAGGAATTCAACTTTTAGGAAATATGCTAGCCAGCCTATCTACAAGTTGACAGGGCCAGCTGACCCCAACTTAGAGATATTCTTGATTGGGGGCTTAAAAAAGTAATACTTAGTTTTTTTTAAAAAAAAAACCAACTGATTTTAATATTGAAAAATCAATGAGTTAAATTCAATCCTTTCAAATTACCTTTTAAAGAAAATAAAAAATAGTGTTAGAATTCACTATTTTTCCATTCTACTTAGTAAAGTAGTTTTCCTTTCAATACATAAATTAATAGATTATAAAACTTTCTAGCCTTTTTTTATGATAACAAAAGAACTATTTCCTATATGTGAAGAATAAAAAACACGTACAGATATACACATGTTAAGATCGATCGTTGGAGCCCTGGTGGCTAAGAGCTTGGCTGCTAACCAAAAGGTCAGCAGTTGAAATCCACCAGCCGTTCCTTGGATACCCTACGGGGCAGTTCTTGTCTGTTCTATAGGGTCACTATGAGTCAGAATCAACTCAATGGCAATGGGTTTTAAGATCAGTCTTTAAGTCAGCTCTACCTGTAAAGTGTTCTTCATCATATGCTACACCCTAGTTCAAGCCACCAGGCCAATGCTTTTTTTCCTGATGCACCAGGCCAATGCTTGAAGACCACCTCTGAACAACACTTCTCTGTAAAACAATCTGAAATACCATTTCTCTATAGTTCACAGCTGCTTCTTCTATTTTATGAGGCATAACCTTCTATTTTTTCCATTGAAAAGATATCAGTGTACAGTTGAACAAGATTAGTCAGCCATCCTAAGTGAGGATAACTAATTAAATAACACTTAGCTGCATTCTGGTTTTTCATTTCACTGAGCTGAGAGGAACTGAGATTGGTTAAGTAGCCTACCCAATGTTCGATACTGTATCTGATTTCATTATCGAAGGTTGCAACCCAGATAAACTTACTACAAATTGATTGGTGTGATAGCAGTCACTTAGGAAGATAATGAGAAAATGTTTGTCTCTGTAAAAAGTTCCATTTGGAAATTGAAGGAAAGTCCCAGGAACTTCTAGCTTCAGCCTCATGGGTGCAGAGCTTCTAAGAGGAAAGGAATCATGCCATTCAGAAAATAGATTGAGGACACCCACTAAATGACCGTAGAAATACCACTTGAATGTACTAACACAGAAATTTGTTAATCTAAGGGACCTAATGTCAGAATCTTTCTGAAAAAATAGTTTAACAGTATATGTCAAGTTCCTTAATAATGTGTGTGTCTTTGATCCAGTAATGACATTTCCACTTAGTTTGTAAAACATAGTAAAGGCAAAATGTAATAGAATATTTAAAAGTAAAACACACACGCACACATACCAGTGCTGTACAAAGAAGTCTATGTTTGTATCACCATCTCAACATGATGGGCATCTCTTTAATTGCTACACATAACTACAGATTTTTGGCAGGAAGCTACCAGTACGTAGACTGAATGAATAAGCACAAAGATGACCTTTAGCCACAAAGTGTCATTTTGGACAACTGGAGCAGAGTCCCGCTTCTTGGGAGAGGCCTCTTATCTTGCTTCCCTTAGTGCTGGAACTAGATGATGCTTTTGTATAACTTCATGTAAAATGGGAAGAGAAGAGAAATTAGCATTTATTGGGCACATACTATGTGCCAGGCACTATTGTGACTTAAAGAAAGAGGAATAATTTTATTAGAGAAAAAGTTACAAACGAGTTTATCTCCATCCTCACCTCAAACTAAACTTGAGTCCATTGCTGTGTTGAATTTAGAAGTTCAGGAGATAAGAGCGTAGAAAGAGAAGTTAGAGGAGGGATCAAAAAATTAACTCATTAAGAGAATAAAGTAGAAAACTATTATATAAGATGAGGGTATGTTTATGTCTTTTAAAAAATGTTTATTGCATGCAAAACTCACCTATTCTAATTGTTCTCACCTACCATAATCTGCCTATAGACTTATGAAATCACGTGTAAAGGAAATTTTCAGAGGTTGTCTGTACCAAGAGGCAGTGCATCACATGCCTAAGCACATCTGCTGTGTTATTAGGCTTGGATGGCGACAAGTGCCACCATGTGCCCAGCGGGTGATCTTTGTTTTCTTACCTGTACAACTGAGATGACATTAATACCTACCTCATGAGTGGCTGTAAATAAGTAAGATTTAAAAAAAAAAAAAATTTGCCGTCAAGTTGATTCTGACTCATGGCATCCCCACATGTATCAGAGTAGAACTGTGCTCCATAAGGTATTTCATGGCTGTGATCTTTCAGAAGTAGATTGCTAGGCATTTCTTCTGAGCTGCCTCTGGGTAGACTCAAACCACCAAACTTTCAGTAAGTAGCCGAGTGCTTAACCATTTGTACCTCCCAGGGATTCCTAAATGAGTAAGATAATGTTTGTAAAATTCTTCATACAGAGCTTGTCATGAAGTTAGCGTGCCAGGAATGGTAGGTCCTATCCTTACCTTCTTCTCCTGATGATGATGGTGACAATGATGATGGTGAAAATTCTCACTATTATCATCTAGTCCAAATGTCTTCTGATGTTTCAACTTCCTCTAACCCAAATGATCTCTCAGCCTCTGCTGGAGTATCTTCTTAATGGAAAACTCACTACCTCTAAGGAAGAATTCCATATTCAATAGCTTTTAGTTTTCAGTTTTTCTTTCTTTCACTGAGTTACAGTTTTCCAATGTTCCACTCACTTTGCGCTCATTCTTCTGATTAAAATTTTCTGATAGCTTTGGAACTCAGACTATTGGCAGAATCTTTCTGAAAAAATAGCTTAACAGTATATGTCAAGTTCTTAATAATGTGTGTATCTTTGATCCAGTAATGACATTTCCACTTATTTTATAAAACATAGTAAAGGCAAAATGTAATAAAATATTTAAAGGTCAAAACACACACACACGCCAGTGCTGTACAAAGACCAGTCTAAGTGTTGGTTCATATGAAAGTCTGAATTCCACCTAAAAAAGAAGTTTGAGGGTATCCAACTTTGTCAATTATGTATGAAATTAGAGAAACACCTGAATACTCTGAAACTCTGAGCTGGTCATCCTCACTGTGAATTTTTACATTTGGATCTATCATCTCTTTGTTTTACAGAAAGAT